ATATATTGGTGTTACTGTGAATTGTTCTTTGAAAATATCAACTCAATCATCAGTAGTGATCATGAAGACACATGGGATGTGAAAGACTTCACACGCACACAAAAAATCAAACTGTGTAAATCCATGATAAGCCCAAGCATTGGCACAGTGTGACAACTATCTTGAATACAATAGAAGTAGAAATAGTACACAGAAAAACTGCAAGAATGGTCATAGATACAGAGTGGCTTCTTGTCTGGAGAGCTTAAACACAGGGTTGGAAAGGACCTGTGTGGTCATAGTGTTCAGTCCTGTCTACCCCTGTCACTGTCATATAAATCTATTTCTATATCTTTATCAAATGCTGCCATAGGATTCTGATTTGAATGCAACAAACTTGTCCGCTTCTGCTAAATCTTCAGTAGATAGCTGCTCTTCATTTGTTTCTGTGACCTGTAATTGTTGGGAGAGAGGAATTAAGTGATTCATAGTTAATTTCTGTCATAGAACAACTATGCAAAAACCCAAAACCAAAAAACAAAAACAACCTCTCATAATGATAGCTAAGTGTACTCCTTCTTTTGTTGGATTAGTTTTCCTTACAAGATACTGCCGTGATCCATGGAGTCACACTGTCAGGTCTGATGGTTCTTGTTTGAAGGACACATTTATCTTGGAGATTCCCAGTCCCAGAAAAGATACCCATTTGAATCAAAGCAAATGTTTAATTTGATGCATTGGTTTCAGAGACTGGGCTCACATCCTGAGTCTATTTCCTGACTGGGGTCTGTCAGCTTTTCGAGGTCTGCAGCAAACACCTGATCTCTAGCATGTGTAGAGCACCTTTGATTACCAATCTGGACAGAAGTGTAAACCAGAGGGGCTATTTCTTCAGATTTTATTTGTAACTTGCCACCACAGAAGTGACTGGTTCACTGATGAAGGAGTTCTCGTTGCTGATGTGAATGGATGTTTCACCAAGAATATATTCCCTAAGAGCTGGGGCCTGAGTGCTTGAGAATGTAGGATGGCATGAAGGTACAGGATGGTGGGTGTTGTAGGAATGCTACACAGGAGGGTAGATTTTCTTACGGATCTTTGCTTCATTGTTTGTTTGTTTTCTTAAAATGGGTCTGAGAAAACAGATTACACCAAAGTGTTAATGCTGAGCTGAAACAGAACGGATACAGGAAAATGCTAGCTTGTTTGCCACTGAATAAAGGAGTAAGAGTGGTGGTACTGTACCAGTTTTGGGATTGGGTAGCTTGCTGGAAGAGCCACTGTGTATTGGCATATGGCATCATTAATTTCTGGGTACTTAATTAAATAATGCGCGTGGTGCAAGCAGGATTGGTTAGCGTTGTTCTCCAAATGACAAAAGCAATTCTAAACTTTGCAAGGTTCCCAAACCACTGCAAATATGGAAAAAAATGGCTGCAGCAAGTCAATGAAGATATAGTCTATATGGAACAGGTGCTTGGCTGAAAGGACCATATGCTGTTTGGCTCCTTGTGCTCAGTGTTATCAGAATGTAGGATACATTCTTCTGTTTTCTTAGAATGAAACAGGAGTCCAAGGAATTTAATTTCTGTTCAGCTGTGTACTTCTTCCTAATACAAGTTTTCCAGCCGTTTCCTGATGTTCAAGATTATAGGATACTAAACTCCACCAGCAGGTGTCTTCAGAGCTGTGGGAGTCCAGTGAGGAGGTTGTGTTCATTGGTAGAGATTTCTAAATTATCTCTTTCTTAAGGTGAGTGGAAACTCTGTCTAAAAGTCATTGGTATGGAACAGTGCTGAATGTTAACTGTCGCTTTCTTCTTTTGTGGGAGGAGGTTTAGTGGAACTTGCTGCTCACTTTTAATGCTGTTGGATAAGCTAATAACTGTGTCGCTGAGATTAGCCTGAAATTTAAATCAAAATCTTGTGTTGGACTTTTTTTTTTTTCTGAATAGGCCTGAAACAAATTCTGCAGCTCCTAACTACACCTAACTACACCTAACTACACCTAACTACACCTAACTACACCTAACTACACCTAACTACACCTAACTACAAAATTATCTTGACAAATATCTAAAATGAATTGCAAATATTTCCATTTACCCAGCCTGCAAAATCTGTCCTGTTTTAGAGCCAAATACTGTCCTATTTAATCCAAAGTGTCACTTTTCTACCACATAGCTTCTATTTTTAAGGTTAGTATATTTCAGTAAGATTAAAATGTACACATTTTCTCAAATGGCTGATCTGCCGTTTCCAAATAAATGCTTCTTGTCCTTCTGCTTTTCTCAAACACATATTTAAAGAATTGGAAGAAACAACAAAATTGAAGAAAACCAGGCCCAGAGTATTTAAAAACACATGTGTATACATGCTCTTTAATAATAAATGTGCTCTTTTGTACTAATTAATCTTAGAAGGAGCTGTTACTTAAACTGTGTTGGTTTGTGATGAAAACACATTGGCCAACAGCTACTTTAAAAATTCTTGTAAGAAATCTCTTAATTATGTGTTTGCAGCTAAACGCTTTTTGTTTGAGGGTGAAGGGAGTGCAGGAAGCTAGATTGAGGACAGAATGGTTTGTAAGGCTGCAGAAATTTTCAACAGCCTGTTGCATTATGGAGTCCTAATCTGCTGAACAGTTGAGGAGTCCGGCCTTTCTCAGTCTCAGATTAAACAAAGAAAATTCAAGATAAAAGGACCTTGATGATGATATTAGAGATTTGGTTTGACTTTTAAACCTAAATAAGGAGTTAAAACTTCAAGTGATCAGAACTGATGCACCCCTGATGATTTCAGGAGAGTGACGTTGATTTACATCAGATGAACATCTGTCCCATCAGGTGATGCGAAAGAAAAGCCTGAGTTTAATTCAGAGTTAAATAACGAGGTGTTCAGCTTAACTGCACAGCTGTGTTTCCTTGTCTTAAGAGCACTGACTTGCCATGCAACCCTAAAAACTTGGTTACGTGCCTGTAGTTACTGCTACAACAGTTGGCCCACTCCTTTCCTTTGACCAAAATTCTAGCCTTGCCTCTTCAACATACCCAAATCTGCCTGGCATCTTGACATGGAAGATTTTGCATCCCCTGAACTCCTGCAGGAACCGTAGAGATGAAAGTGACTGCCTTAGTCGCCAATGATCGTTTGCCAGGCTCTTAGCATTTGAGCCAGTGTATCTATTTTCGTGTCTGCTGCCAGCCAACAGCTTCCACCCTCCAGACAGTAATTCCTTCTGTGCTTGCTTCCAGATCTTGTTCCCTCCATGAAACTTGTCCACTGAACTCTCTGTGCTGGTATCATTGTTGCTCCTGGGTGCCGTTCTCCCACCCATTCCCTGTTCATGCTTTCTTGCTGCATTCCACGAGCAGGTCCCACACTTACAAGCTCTAAACCCAGCCCGGGGAGTCAAACCTGCCCTGTTGCCAAAGCCTCAGCTCACAGCCGTGCGCTCACTGCTTAAGATACAAATGATTGGTGTGGTGGTTTTTGTATAATAACGTAGTGGTTGTAATACTTCTCTCAGAAGTGGTTGCATTTGGGTTTGGATTCTCTTTCTCCTGAGGGATATTCAAATCCACCTGTCCCTTCCCAGGCTGTAGGCAACCTCTCAGCCCTTCCTATTGAAGTTGTGCCACTTCAGTTGTGCTGAGAGGATTCCTAGAGCCAGCGAAGAGAAGCAAGTGGGAGCCTGACTGCAGCTTACCAGTAGGGACCTCCCCTGAACAGAGGTGGGGAGCAGGTTTCTGGCACCATTCCCAAACCTGCTTACTAAACATTTTGTGTTAAAACATCTCTGGATAAAAATCAAAACCAGCCCTGGAGGCAGAGTCCAAACCCAGCACCTATCTGAGCAGGGAGAAGTTGAAACCACGTTGCCCTGGCGGCAGGTGCTGTTTTCATGCAACCCCAACCACTCCCTCCTATTCAGGCCGTGTCTTTAAATGAAAGCTGGGGTGGCTGCTCTCTCAAACTGACTCGAGCCATGCTGAGGAGTCTTAGCTGTGCTCAGGACTTCTCAGTCTCAAGTGGGCTTTCGTGTGCCTAAGTGGTAAGGTGTTCAGCTCAGCCAAAATGGTGCGACCTCAGCATGGAGTAAGAAAAACCTGAGGTACACAAATACCTTCTTTTGGTGAAAAATCCGGGTACCTGTGGACTCTCAGGCACCTAATCAGTTGTTTTTGTGGAGGAGGGGAGAAGTTGTGGGTAATGTGGAGTCTTAGATTTGGACATTTTTCCTCATTAAAATATCGTAGGTACTACTATGGCTTTGAGCTTGCCTCAGAGTGAATTAAGAGCAGTTTTATTTTGAGACGTGACTGAAGGACGCACAGGTTTGACTTCAGCTTTGGAATGTCCAGTTTTCTGTTTAAAATTACTTCAGTTTCACTGTCGTTTAGAAACTTTTGAATTTTTTTCTTGTTATCAGTGAGTTCTCCTTGTGTAAATCAAACGATTCCCTCAGGACCCACAGTGTTTACAAAATGATTTATGATTCTCTGAAGGACAAAGCACTGAGCACTGAACGGTAATGGAAGTGATGGAAATACTTCGCAGATGAGAGAAAAGCAGGAAAAAATGTGTCCTTTGGTTGACTGGATGAGGTTGGGAGCCCTTTTAAGAGAGAGAACTTCTTCTGGCAGTAAATATATCCAGATGAGAATGTCTGTCATAATTTTTGGCTTAAGGCTGAGTAGTTTTCATGGAGGAATTATGGTGTTGAAAGCTTATGGACCTATTCAAGTTGTTGATGGTGGGACTGCACTGCATAGGCAGTGTATGTCTCCATGCTGTTTCAAAGGCTGGTGTTTGCAAACTGAACTGAACCCTCCTCATCTTGACCTTTATAAAACAACCTTGCCAAAGTACAGCTGACCTTTCTCCTTGATTGCTCGAAATCCTCTTGCTTTCCTCTTCATTTCCCCCCCTGCATAATATCTTGTTCTGTTGAACTCTCTCCCCCCCCCCCAGATCCGAAGTTCTGCTGTGGGTCGTTGATCTGCTGTAATGAGTCCTGCATTGACTTCAAGGCTCATGGAGGATCTTCTATTCCCAGGACAGCAGGTACCAAAGATTTTCTTCCACGACGTAAAAAACCCCAAAGCTATAAATGTGCAGGTGTGTGCACTCCTGTTTCCCAAGCCCGTGCCTCCGTACTGCTCCACCTCTGAAAATCAGGGCAAAGGAACGCAGAAGAGTGTTTTGGGGCAGCAATTTCTGAGCGTGGAGAAGTTGCTGTGTTGTCTCCTCTTCAGCTGGAGGAGGTCAAGGCCATCGCTGTTGCAGACCCTTGCAAAGATTTGCTTCACAGGTTTGTACGTTGTGACTAGGGGAGTTCACCTTATAATACCTGCTTTTTGTGGTGATTGCTGATTTGGGTTTTTATAGGCTTTAATTGACTGATGTTTTATCCTTGAAACCTGTTTGCTTTCCTTTGATGTACTGGCTCAGACATTGCTGCGTGAGTGGATGTATCAGAGATATTAACCAACAGAGTGAGGGATGTATTTTAGAGCTGTGGGCTTTTAACATTTTTTTCATGGTCTTGAGATTCCAACATTTTGGTGTCCTGTGGTGGACATGTCTTCTTATGGTCACATAGTGAAATGTAATCTCATTGTTTCCCCAAGCTCCTACCTGCTACAAGAACATTGCTTAAAGAAAGATAAAATATTTTCTCCTTTTATTAGTTCTTATGCAAAATTATAGCATGCAGAAAATCAGCTTATGGCATCCAAAAATGGTTTTGATTTTCAACAATCTCGGTTTTGTCCCAAGATGGTGCAGAGTCTGGAGGGACATGCAAAATATTTCTGGATTTTGGAGGGAAAATAAAACACTTTTGCCTTCTAAGGGGTTCTGCTACAAGGCAGTGGCTCATTCCCCCTTCAGTTATCCCCTCATTTCCTCAGCCATTACTTGTGCTAGCATAGTTCCTGTTAGAAAAGAGCCAAGTAAAGTAACAGATGAATGCATATGTATTTTGCTGTATGAAGCAGCACAGATATTGGTTTTCTGAAGATAATTAACACTAGTCAAATATAAACAGAAATCTCGGTCAAAAGATCTACTTACTGTTTTACTATTGTTTCATACAGCATTGAGCATTTGGGAATGAAAGAGAATTGACTGGAACATTTTTGGATGCAGAGTAATATCAATATTACATCATGTTCATAATCTGAACTAAGGTTGAGCTTGCTTTCCCCTACTGTAGCATGTCAAAAGCAGTGGGAAAAATCTAAATTCTCTTAAAAGTGAAAGTGACTCCAGTAGCTTTAAGACTAATAACTGGTAATGCCAGCAGTATTTTAAATGCTGAGGCAGGAACTTGCCTGCCTGAAGGAGTTCTTGAATGTAAGATAGAAACCTCACATGGAGGCAGAGTAGAACAGAGTTTCTAATATATTTAAAGTAATGAGCTGTGTAAAACACTCCAAGAATATTCCCAATATTAGTAGTGACCATTCTAATGGATTCTCTTCTGCCTCGTAGCAGAAGAATCTGCAGAAGGAAACTGAAAATATTTATTTCTATCAAAGCAAACATTGGTAAGGTTGTGTCTGATTCTGCTTTAAGGACCTTCATTACTGAAAGAATTATCTTGTTCCCGCATTCCAAAGGGGTATTTTGTATTGCTTCAAAACCTTTTTGGACCTTTCTTTTGGCTTTCATCTCGGTTAACTGACTTCTGCAAGACAGAAAAAGCATATTCATTTTTGTCTCGGGATCTGCTGTGACCCGGTGTTTTGGCTTTTACCCAGTGGCTGGTGGGAGTCTGGATGTCAGCTGTAGTTATCTGATAACTGCGTACAATGCCCAGAGAGGCACTGAGATCAAGAAAGGATCTGCAGATTGGTTGATGAAAGAACTTGCTTATTGTGGCAGCTGGTTACGGCAGGGATCAAAAGTTACGGTAGCTGCATTTTGGCATGGCCGTGTGGTATCGTACAGGTTTTAGATGACAGTGAAGGTCAGAAAGTTAGTTGGGAGTATGTGATGTCATGCTGAACAGCTCATGTCAGACGTGCTGTTTTGCTTTCAGAAAGGTGGGATATTTTGGAAATGTTTACTACTGCCGAAAGAAATGGATAGGGTTTTGTCTTGTCCCATGTACTGGAGTTGACCGAGTCCTCATTTCCCAGGTGTGTGCTGGGCCATCCAGCCGTCACAGCTCGTGTGTTCAGTGGTCCTGGCAGATGAGCACTTCAGTGAAGTTCTTTGTAATGTATTCACAAGGAGTGATGAAATACTCCATAAGAGGCCTCAAGGAATGATTAGCTTAATCTTCAATTATTTCCCACTGAGACTTGATGAGAAATCATTTGAAAAGGTAGACATGAGCTTTAATATAATCTGCTTTCACAGTTGTCATGAAGCAAAGTGTGCGGAGAGGAAAGATGTTGCAAGTGAAGAAAATCATGACATTAGGACTGAATATTGTAGACCGATGACTATTATGCACTGTTGGCCTCCTTGACTGGCTTCAGCCATTGGAATATGGCTACAGGGCATTATAGACAGTTTGGGAAAAAGAGCACAAAATATGTTGCACAAACCTGAAAACTACTGCTATTAGGTTAAAGCTGCTGTATATTAAAAAAGAACATTTTCATTTATGTGGCTTACGAGAGGCTGACGAGAAGCAGTCATACTTGGTATGCCCTTGGATGAGAAGGTTTGCTGATCAGGCTGTTGAGCTCTTTGGAAACCCTCAGCAAAACAGGAGCTACAGCCAGGTAGTTTTTACTCTTTTACAGTGAAGTAGGAGGCAAAGAAAACTGACCTCTGTAAGTCCTTTTGAGCTGCCTGATTGCTTCTAGTAAATAGTTGCACAAGAGTGCCTCCCGTGGGAAATGCACTATTACTTTCTGTTTGCACAGCAAATGAAAAACTCTGACCACTTCTATAATTTAAGAGAATGAGATAATGCCTTGTGAGCTGACTTGGTTTTCTCTAAATAGTTTAGTCTTGATATCTCTGCTATCAGATGGTGGTTTGTTACTACTTTGGTTAAAAGCATCTCTGGCCCTACAGTCATTAAAACTATTTTATATAATCAAATAATCCCAAATTCCTGAGCAATTGAAGATTTGCTTAGAAGATGGGGATCCAAAAAGCTCCTTCTGGCTATGCAGAAGTCTGTCAATGTAATGTTTAGGAATGAAACGATAAAAATTCTCTCGTGCCATTCACATCTGCCACAAACTCTCCTTTCTCTATCTACATCTCCATCCTACATCTTCAGAGTGGATGTCCCTTACATCTGTTTTGGTCCCTTACATTGTTTTAGGTTCCATATATTTTAAGGTCCCCCCACCTTGAAACATCTGTGTTAGGTTTCTTATTTATGCTGCGTGTGGGCAACTCTTGTGGAGTTTGGCTGGACATAGGTAGGCTCTGCACTGAAAACTGAATCTGCAGCCCCTCAGTTTTCTTCTTTTCTCACCCACTGGAGTAGCGTTGCTGCAAAAAACATTGAGTGCTCGCTAATCTACCAGCAATCAGGGTCATAGTACCAATAGAATCATTAAGGTTGGAATGACCAAGGAGATCATCTAGTCCAACCATCAGAGTGACCACATCACTCGGTGTGACATCCAACCTTTTCTCAAAAACCTCCAGGGATGATGACTCTACCACATAGTCTTATTGAACTCAGTGATCCCTGTGGGTCCCTTGCAACTAGAGATATTCTGCGACTCGCTTGCATGTTCTGCTCAGCTGGGGAATGGCTGGTGGTAGGTACCAATATACAAAAGCTGCTGCTTTTGGTACAGTATCAGCATTGCATGCCTCTGTATCTGAATACTCAAATTGCAGTGGGTATTTATATGCACGCAAATCATGTTTCTTCTCTCTGTGCAGATCTATATTTATTCAAGGCATATCCTCTGGCTTACAAAACCAAATGCTGTGTTGAATGAAAAAGTCTGGAGAGGATTTTAAAATCACTGGTGGCAGTGGACAGCTAGTGTTGGAGGTAGAGGAATTTGCATCCACAAGCGGTTTGTGGGTTTGCATTTGTTCAGGAGAATTTATGAAAGGAGGCAGAGTGATGTCCTTGGACTCTAAGCTGTAATGCTGGCAGGAATACTGGGTGCAACTGCTAGAAAGTATTTCTTTGATCAGGGACTGATGGGTTTCTTGTCTTTCACTGAGGCCATGGAAGGAAGCAAGTACTCTCCTTTGTTTAGTGATAGCTGAAACAATAGAAGCTGATACACAAATGAGAGGAGTGTGTTAAAGCTGGAATATAAACTGAACCCTGGTGGCTAGAGAGTGACTGGAATGGAGCCGTGTGTGATAAACAGAGGATAGCCACAGAGAAGGAAAACAGCTGGAAGAAGCCAGGAGTCAATGGGAAACACGCAAGCAATTTCAATCCAGGCTTATGAAGAAAGCAGCAAGAGGAGATGTGGTGTCTCCAGGCAGAAGGCAGGCTGGAGGGGCAAAAGATGGGTGCAAAAGATGGAAATGACCAAATCAGAATGTCCAGAGAGCAAAACTGGAACATCCTAGAGAAAATAATCAGCTCTAATGCCTTCTCCTAATGGCGAAGCTCACAAGACACCAAATACTAGCAAACACTTAAAAGGAACAGCATTATACATGTATCACAGTACACCTTTCTATGTTGAGATGGCTCCTTATCCTGCATGTCACAAGACGTGAGAGCTAGCACTTGAGTTGCCAGCTGTGTTCATCTTGGAGATGTGATCCACTGCGTTGGTAGCTGAAGAATTTGTGTAGATCATCTGAACCTAGACAGAATCATCCCTGGGGGAAGCATTTGCAAATGCAGGCAGTACGGGACTTCACCGGCCACGTGACTGCATGGCCTCTGTGGGGAGACATGGAAACGTGTTTCTGCTGGAAACCCAGGGTGTTCTTGGCTTTCCCACAGAGTTTCTTATTGAGGAACTAAACTTTCCTGAAACACTCAGAGCACAGCATTGGGAATAAAGTCACGACCAAACACCACTTGCTATGATGATTCCAGTTGAGCAGTTGGATCCCTTTGAAAACCGTGAGCATTTTTCATAAAAGGACAGCAAAACCCGTTAGGGAGTTAGGCAGTGCTTGGCAGTCTGTCCCAGGAATTGCAGCTACTTCTTGTAAGACCTCAACTTCCACTCACAGCTACCTCAGCTGATAAGCTCAGTGGTGTGTGAGTTTGGTTTTACTTAATGTTTTTGGCAGCTCTCGGATCAGGCCGGTCCTTTACAAGTATCATTTGAACTCCATGGATTTAAACACTTTTCTAAGATTTCCATTCCTGAAGCTATCTTGCAATAATACCCTAAACAC